TCTGTTATCCCTATTTTTTGAAAAATTCTGGAGAGCAATCTGATTTGTCTAACTACTGTTCCATTAGTCTTCTTCCTATCATAAGCAAAGTCTTTAAATCTTTAATTAACAAACAATCTCTCATCTCAAATCTAATAACTTACTTTCTGATCATCAATATGGATTTCGATCTTCTCGTTCTACGGCTGATTTGCTAACAGTAATAACCGATAGGTTTTATCATGTATTAGATAAAGATGGAGAGGTTAAAGCCATCGCTCTTGACATTTCTAAAGCGTTTGATAAAGTTTGGCATGCTGGTCTTCTCCATAAGCTTTCTTCTTATGCTGTATCTGGAAGCGTATTTAAGATTATTGAATCCTTCCTTTCCAATCGTAGTATGAAAGTTGTCCTTTATGGACAGCACTCTTCTTCTTATTCTGTAACCTCAGGGGTTCCTTAAGGTTCAATCCTTGGCCCTATACTTTTTTAAATTTCCATAACCGATCTTCCAGATATTCTCACATCTAAGGTGACATTGTTCGCTGATGATACTACCATTTATTCTTGTCATTATAAGAAGCCAACTCTCTCTGATTGCTTGGAGGGGGCATTTGAGCTTAAAAAGGATCTTACTTCTGCTACACCATGTCACTCATAGTGGTTGGTGAACTTTAATTCAGATAAAACTAAATTTTTTTTAGCCAATCGTTATAGCAATAATTTAGACCTTCCTATATTAATGAATGGAAATGTACTCAATGAATCATCTACCCTTCATCTTTCTAGGATTGACTCTTACTTCTGATCTTTCTTGGAAAATATATATTAAATCCGTTGCAAAATTAGCATCTGCTAAAGTTGCATCTCTTTATTGAGCTCAACACTTTCTTACTCTGGATTCTATTCTCTATCTCTATAAATCTCAAATCCGGCCTTGTATGGAATACTGTTGCTATATCTGGGGTGCTTGTTCTAATGATGCCCTTTCTCTTTTAGACAAGGTGCAAAAATGCATTGTAAACATAGTTGGACCTGCTCCTGCAGCCAACTTTCAACCATTATCCCGTTGTAATGTTGCTTTTCTTTCTCTTTTCTACAAATACTATAATAGGCACTGCTCTAAAGAGCTAGCGTCTCTTCTATTAAAATTCATTCTTGTGTTACTCGTCATTCCATTAAATCTCATCCTTTTTCTGTGACTGTTCCTAAGTGCTTCAAAAACTCTTATTCCTCTAGTTTTTTTCCTCGAACATCAGTTTTCTGGAATTTGCTTCATTTATCTTGCTTTCCTGATTTATATAATTGGCAATCTTTTAAGTCGTTGGTCAATCGTTATCTTGCTCTACAATCTTCCTCTTTTCTCTTCCAGTAACTTCCAACACTAATTAGTGGTTGCTAGCAGCCTTGTTGGAAGCAAAGATTTTAAATACATACATACATACATATATATATACATATATATATATATATATATATATATATATATATATATATATATATATATATATATATATATATATATATATATATATATATATATATATATATTAGGGTGGGCCAATTTGTATGGAGCCGAAAAATTCGATTAGAGCTGCCTCCTAGGATGATTCTATGGACAATTCTAAGCAACATTGGAGGAGCCATAGGTCTATCTCGATTTTCGAGTCTCCCACTTTTCAAAAAATGATTTTTTCCCTATAATATCATTTTGATTCAAAATTCGATTTTTTAGTTCTGATCTTTATTTTTACCTATGACCACCACCAGAGGGCATTTCATGCATATTTTAACTATTTTTTGTCTATTTTCTGAGAAAAGTTACAAGTTTTTCGGTAAAATTGATTTTTGTTTTATTTTTTTCAACAGAAATTCAACCTAAAAATTAAGAACGTGATAAAAATTCTAAAAAATGAATTTAGTGGAAGAAAAGAGAAATAAGTTATTTTTGAAAGTCTTTCTTGCTTTTAAGTCTGGGGTATTTTGCACGACTTTCTGATATAACTGCCATAACACTGTGTCGACTCTTTTCTAAAACACGTTTAGAAACACTAGCCAGCAATTGAATATGTCTTTCCATTGCTTGTATGTGTACTGGAATTCTTGGATCAGGCAATGGTGGATCATCGTATTCTAAATATTGTTCCATGATCATACAGAATGCTATGCATAAACAATTCGAATTAGATTTATTTATATTAACGTTTTAGCTTCTATAAACGCTTTTTTTTATTAACAAATTGCAACTTTATACTGTAGATGCTGAAGTTGAATCACTGCGCAGCGGTTGCTGTATAATCATTTTTTATAAACTAAAGTTATTATTTTTTAGCTTGTAATTAACCATAGTTTAAAACTTAATATAGAACAAGTGAAGCCAAGTAAATTTTAATTTATTAGAAAAAGTATACGCTTACAAAAAACCATTTGCGTCAAAATAAAAAATCTTAAATTTCAGTAATAGTGAAAATTTAAGTTATGGAACCTTTATTTAAGTTATACAACTCTTAATGTTTTTGAACGAATATAAACTATTTTTTGTTTTTTTATTATCATCTTTATTTAAATCAATCAAATTCGTATAATCTGTATAATTGAAGTTTATCAAAGGTTTTTGATAAACTCTAAGATGTGCCGGGTCGTACAGATTTCTTTGGTAGTGTAAAATTTTCTCGATTGCGATGTTTTGTGTCTTTTTTTTATTATCAAATAACATTGCTAACAAAATATTTTCAGAATGTGCGTAATATGGTCCAGTGGTCGATGATCTGTCCAAAAAACTTACAAAAAACCATTTGTGTCAAACAAATGACAAAATGGCAGCTCGTTGAAGTGCAGAAGGCACACAAACCAATGCAGCGGTCTATTCAAATGCATTTCAAATTGATGCAAAATCCCATTTCTTAGGAAAGTGTTTGTTGACTCACCATCACAGCATATGCCGATTAATGCATCGAGAGCAATTTTTTTTTCGACAAAGAATACATTTAATGTCATCTATTTGTGTTCAGCATCTTCATTTTTGACTTTTGTGTAGCCTATCAATTGAGAATTTGGTTCCTTCAGAACAACTAGATGTGATTCTTTCACGATCCTTGCAACTTCTCATCGATTTTTTCCATTGTTAAAGCATCATTTTTTCGGCCGTCGAATGAAAATGCTATCAAATTGGATGCATCATACTGTTTAAGAAGCAATTCCTGTCTGCATTTGGCTTTTTCTCTATGCACTTTATTTTTATTCATGATGATAGGATTGCCATGTTCATCTTTTACGTCAATGTCTTGCATAAGAGATGTTGCAAGTGCTGCTGCTATTCTATCAGACACACCAAATCGATCACACATCGCAGCGAAGTTCGAAGCATCGTATCTGGGAGTATACGGTCCTTGTATCATTGGCGGAACATCTTGTGGATTTGAAACGTGCTCATCTGTATCAGTACTTGGTTCATATGCTAAATGGCTCTCTTCAACGCTTGTTGATATTATTGTTGACGTTGGTGCTGGCTCTTCGAATTCCAATATCGTCAATCTTCTGACATTATTTTGATCTTGCATGAACTCTTTTGAATGATCTGGAATCAATTCACATGAGCATAATGCTGCCTTCAAGTCACATTCACATTTGCCGATGTAAAATAATTCTTTTGTAGATTGCACAAACATTCTGAATGTGGCAATTTTTGGATGTTTACTTTCGATTTGATATTTCTTAATCAAAAGAGGCTTTGTTTACAAAATATAAACAAAAAAATAATCTCATAAAATGTTGAAAAAATAATCTCATAAAATGTTGTTGTAAATAGGCATGATGATTATTATTTTTTAAGATTAATTTTATTCTCTTTTCCAAAACAGAATATTTGTGTTAACATTCGTAGATTTTTCTAGAATGAATGAGCAACGGAAACAGTATATAGTTGATGGCGAAATGTCAAACAACATTTTGCCCCTTAGGACCAGTTTGGTTTTCGGCGGCAAGCTATACATTATTCCTACACACATTATTCCGACATGCCATTCATACAAATATATTATTCCTACGCACATTATTCCTAAATGCTATACATATAAATACATTACAATGTATTACATATTTCAAAAAAAAGTAACCAGAGAACAACATCGATGCCTATGTATATTAAATTATACATTTTTAACATATACCTTTTAATTCTTTTTAAATTTCACAATTATTCGTTGGCAGGAAATTTATTATTCACCTTTACTGAAATGATGCTCAAACACGCATGAACTGAACACTCGTAAATGTCATTTTTGTTGTGCTCTGTCACAAAATATGTCAGTAATGATGTTTTACCAATGTTTTTTTTAAAATAAATACGTTGTTGACTTAAATGCAACAACACTTTGTCGCTTTTTCTTCTCACTAAATTCTTTTTTTTTTTTGTTTTTTTTTTTTATTTATTTTTTTATACATATTTTCTTATTTTTTTATGTTGAATTTCTGTTGAAAAAAAATAAAATAAAGATCAACTTTACTAAAAAACTTGTAATTTTTCTCGGAAAATAGACAAAAAATAGTTAAAATATGCATGAAATGCCCTCTGGCGGTGGTCATAGGTAAATATAAAGGTCAGAAATGAATTTCTCGACCCCAAAAAACCCCCCATATACACATAAAAAAGATAATATAACGATGAATAAAAAATTGAATTTTGAATCAAAATGATGTTATAGGGAAAAAATCATTTTTTGAAAAGTGGGCGACTCAAAAATCCAGATAGACCTATGGTTCTTTCACCAAAGTTGCTAAGAATTGTCCATAGAATTATCCTAGAGGGCGACTCTAATCAACAAAAAATTTGGCTTGCCCTTATATATATATATATATATATATATATATATATATATATATATATATATATATATATATATATATATATATATATATATATATATATATATATATATATATATATATATATATATATATATATATATATAAGTTTTTTTCAGTTTCTCACAATATATATTATCTTTTTTTTTATTGAATAGCCTGAAGAGCAAATTGTTTTAAATGTACTTGATGGTTTGATAGCTTCTAGAAAATTTTCTGATATATTTGAACTTGTAAAAAAGGTATTATAATTTTTAACAATTCATTAAAAAAGAGAATAATTTCTTTTTAAAAAATCCTTTTTTTTTTTTATAAAAATTAAAGATTTATTAGTAATATATTATTTTATATATTATATATTTTTACATAGTTTTTATATTTTTCTAGTTATTGATAAGTTTTTTTTTTATTAAATCATAACCCAAAAATAATAAACATATAAAAGCATCACCACCACCTAACTGTTTTAATATGATCTTTGAAGTAACTTTGCAAGTTGAATCTTGCCTCAAAATTCACTACTTGCTGTTTGTGAAGACTATTGCTCTTGATGTTTCAAAAGCTTTAGATAAAGTTGCTTTATAAATTTCCATAAGTTTGTTTGGTGTTTTTGAGAAAAATTTTGAGATTATTAAATTGTTTCTTTCTAACAGCTGTTCTAAAGTCATCCTTAAAGACCAACACTCTTCTTCATTTCTAGTAACTTCTGGGGTGTCACAAGTTTTTATCCTTGGTCCTGTTTTGTTTTTTTATTTAATTAATGATCTTCCTGACAGTCTTACATTTAAATGATTCTGTTTGCTGGCGACTCAACTTTATACTCTTTTCTTCACAAAAGTATACTTTTCTATTGCTTAAAACAAGCAGCTGATTTTGAATCTGTTCAGTAACTTGTGAATTTCAAAAATACTAAATAATTTACTGCAAATAAATAGTAACTCCAACAATACTAAACAATTTACTAATAAACAACTATCATAATATTGTCAACAAATGATAATTGATAAATAGCAACTCTCTAACTAAGTCCTCTACTTTATTTTTTCTTCGATACACATTGACGTCTCATGGAAACCATATATCCAATCAATTGCAACTGTTGTCGTATTTGGGCTGGTTCTTTTGATGATACCCTTGTCTAGGAGGGAAAAATGCTCTTTCTCTTCTAGACAAGTTTCAAAAATGCATTTTAGACAAAATTGGACCTGCTTTATGTGTCAAGCTTAAGTGCTCTCTAATCATTGTGGTGACACTTGTTGATTCATAACTTCAAACTAAACTCTTCTCATCACAGGCAACATTGACAGGCGAAAAAGCAAGATTGAAGTCAATCTGATCATGCTGAGCAGCAGATTGACTAAAGAAAATCCAGCAAAACAAGCCCGGCTGGATAATTTTTTTACATTATCATTATTACAATGGCAATATATATAGATGAAATTATTCAGTCTATGCCCGCTTGTGGCACAGCACATAATCAACAATTACCAATAGGCATTGTTACTCAGCATTTTTGAAACATATGGCCTATAGAAACTCTATAGAATTTATATAAAATGTTTAATAATTTCTATAGAAATTGCTATAAAACTTTTTAACAACAAAAATGAAGTTACACAGAAACAACTGTCACTTGGTATTCTGATTAGTCAACATTGTTGACCATTTTCAGCACCAAGTAGGGATGTACAGGATTTTGGCTCCTGTAGTTTTGCTTTGAAATCTGACTCCGGCTCCAATTCCGTACGGATTTGTTAGGAAAAATCCGGCAAATCCGGCCAGATTTGGAAAAATTAAATCCGGTACAGCCCTAGTTTCAATGCCAAATAACTTCAATTGATTGAGTTCCTATTTGTGACCTTTTCTAGCGAAATTTCTCTCTTTAATAGCTCTTATACTTTGTCTATGGGGTTTAGATTTGGGCCAAAAAGTGGAATTTTTAGAGATGCCAATATTTTTCAAAATGGATTTTGCTGTGTGGCATGGTAATCCATCTTGCATAAATATTTTCTTTTGCTTATTTGGAAACCATTTCTTCAATTAAGGTAAAAGACGGGTTTCAGTGACCTTTTTGTTGTGGTTCTGTTTCAATCTTCTACCCACAATGTATAGTTGACCAAAGCATTTTCCACTAATAACCGACCAAAAGATGACTTTAGGAGGGTGTTGAAACTTTTCTTTGGAAGCCCTTTTCACATATTGACCCTTTTGAGTCATAATTTCTATGGTAGATCAGTACTGAAGCATACCTGGAGAAAACAAAAGAAATCACTAAATACTAACACTGGAATATTAGGAAGAAAAAAAATTATTTTTGTATTATAATGCAGGCCTTGTTTTAAACCGTTACGCCTAAAGCGATTTTTACATACGCTTAGAGCAGTTTTGGTTAAGCTACTTTTTATCATTTTTTAACTTTTAAATTAGCGGTAACATAAAAGAAGTAATTAATTTAAAAAAAAAAACCACATTAACATTTGAATAACGATATGTAAAAATATTTTTTACAAAAAAAGAAGTTACGTTAAAAATAATTGTAGTAACTTTTCATCGCGATAATTTCATCTTAACTTTTTATAGCAATTAATTTTATGCTAAACTTTTTATCTAAATATTTAGCAACATGAAAAAAGTTTGTCAATCCTCAACTACAAATTTTTTGCAAATGTTTTAAATAAAAAGTAGTAATTTTTTTTTTAAGTTTTTAGTAAAAAACTTTAAAAAAATCTATATTACAAATTTATTAATACAAAATATAAATGTTTTTTGCAATATAGATTTTTTTAGATTTTTTTAGAGTTAATTGAATTTTTATTAAAAACATTTGCAAAAAATTTGTAGTTAAGGATTCACATTTTTTTTAATATCTCAAAAAAATGTCTTAATCTTTTTGTTACCATGATAACATAAATATTAAGACATTTTTCCAAGATATCAAAAAAATTGTGCCAATGAATGAACAATCTATTTTTATTGTACTAAAAATTACTTCTCCATTGAGTATTTCTCTTTGCTTTTCTTTAAAGTATAAGGTACCTTTACATTTTTAAGTTATGCTGGATGAGGGGGGCCGGCATAGAAGAAAAAAAAATTACCTGTTACTCGCAATTTATGAATGAAGATAATTTGTTAAATTTCTTCTGCGTGCAATTCAATAAGTTTTTTTGTTTTTTTTCATAAATCAAGTTATATTATTAATTTAAAGAAATCACAAGTAGACTATAACATCCACTGATGACACTAATATTACGTTGAATATATTTGTATAACGGAGGTTTCATTATGCATCCGCACATTACAGACTCCGTTAAATAAATACTAAGGCACATTTTAGTTTAATGACAGTCTCTATTCTTTACTAATGACTATGTATTTTGCTATATAAAATAAGACAAACTAGTATATAAAAACCTAGTATATTTCCATTATCTTCGAATTGTTTAAAGTTCGAATATGGATTGTATTTTGAAGGACAAAAGATTTACTTTGAAAATTTTTAAATCCTGGGACTTTGTCGATGCTTTTCGAATTTAAACTATCACAGAAAAAGAGAAGACTTACGTTATTAAAATCAATTGTTGTGTGATCTTCATCAAAATAAAATATTATCAAAAACCAATGGTGCTGTATGGGCAGCTGCCCTAGGGTTTGTAAATGGCACAATTCATGTTGAATTATTTTAACATGTTGGTATATTTTATTTTAATTGGTATATAAATAAAAATAAAGATATTGTTTATTAAATAAATTAAATTTGTTCTTAACAAAAGTTACCTCATATTTATTATTTTTTTATTTTATTATTCTAAACTAAATTGCTTACAAACAAAACAAAAAAAGAGTTTTGTAATTATACATAGAATGAAAATACTTTTGCGTTTGTTTTTAAGTTAATTAAATAAAAGAATTTAATTTTTAATGAACAAATTTTAACAAACGTTTATTATAAATAGTTACGATTCAAATTATTAAATATACTTATTTTGTTTTATTTGAGTATTTTTTTTAAGTTTGCACAATTAAAGTATTGTGTATAGTATTAAAAAGTTTTTTGTTTTAAAAATAGTTAATGAATGGGTTTGCATAATTAAGACTTTTATATTTAATTTTTTTTTTTCTTTTTTTTTTAATTTCAAGAAATTCAAAAAAAGAAAATTAATCGTTAAAAACAATTTTTCTCTATAGCTCTGTGTTTCTTTGTGATTTGTTTACAATGTAAAACATTTTTACGATAACGTAAAACATTTATGAATTAAGTTCGTGGCAAGTTGAAATGCTAAGCAACATAAATTTAAAAAATACTTAAAAACCTAAATTATTCAAAATTGCTGTTTAAATAATTAACAAAGGTTTTTGTTTATCAATATGTTAATTTTTTTTACTTTACTCCCAGAAATTTTTAAAGATAAAAAATCATTATAACAATTTAAAAACAATAATTATTCAAAAACAAATTTCAGAAACAATTAAAATATATATATTTTTTTTACAAAATAATATTTAATTAAAATTATTATTAGAATAACAAAAAAAAAAAAAAAAAAATTTCATAATATATTTACATTTAAAATGTTTATAGTTGTTAAATTGAACTAGTTAGCGGTTAGTTATTTATTGCGGTAGTTAAAACACTTAACATCTATAAAAAACAATAGTTTTATGACCTCAAATATCGCGTTAAGCTAACGCATTAAGCACTTTTTTATTTAAAACAAGGCCTAATATTGACTTGCTGATTTCCAGTCATTAACAGTAAAACTATTTTACTTCTTTGCTTAATCCAGGCGCTTTTTTCTCTGAGTATTGGTTACTTTTGGCTTTTGTGCTAGCCTTCTACTTCTATTACCTAATCCGTGCAAACTTCGTTGAACTGTGATTATTGCTACATTTAGTCCCACCTCATTCAACTTGCTAGTAATTGCTGAGTATGTAGCAAATATATTTTCTTTCACATTTTCATGAGCTTTTTTGCATTCCTTGGTGTTATTTTCTTTTTTGACCACATTTGCCTTGCCTCTGAATATCTAATAGGAGGCCATTTTTCAATTTGTCTTTGATACAGTTCACAGTGCGTCTTGATATCTCACATTTTCTTGATTTTTCACTTATGAAGTAATGCTTCTTTTTCAGATTGTATTGAATAATTGCTTTTTTTTTTTCAGAATTGGTGTTTTCTTTCTTCCCCATTTTGTTATTAAGAACTTTTAGACAATTTTTTTACTAGAAAATATTTTTAAAAAGA